ATCAAGATCATTATATTATTCCACAGTAGTGTGACGAAAGCACTGTACGAAAACAATGGGTACGCCCATAATATCTAACCGAAGCCCACAGGTATTGGCACACGCGAAAACCTCTTACCTGCACCTGCGACCAGCTCTGCAGTGGTGCCAGGCTCGCGTGGCTCTGTGGGGTAGGGTGAAACGGGGACAGATCATTATATACTGGTATCCCAATATTCCCGTCCATGTATGTTGATGCAGGAACATGGAAGGAAAGACTTATAACACTTCAACAGTATTGCGATGAAATGTTGTACAAAAGCACTGGATACAGCCATAATATCTAACTGAAGCTCACAAATATTGGCACATATGAAAGCCTCTTACCTGCACCTGCGATCGGCTCTGCAATGGTGGAAGGCGTGTGTACAAATGCGACAAACGGCCGTCCACCAAGCAAGCTGTCCTGGTCATCATCCTGTTCGTCACGTGCACCAGCCGCAGCAGCAGCCTCAGCAGCATTAGCAGCATCAACATCCATATCAGCCCCGTTTGCAGCCTCAGCAATTGTCGAGACATCTGCACCAGCCGTCTCCATCGCAGCCTCAGCAACTGCAGCCTCAATCTGATCCTGTTGCTGTCGAACACCAGCAGCTCCCGTGCGGCCATGCATAAAGGTGCTGCGCAGCACACCAGCCACTTCCTCATCGATGGGTCCCACTGCGTTATCCAGCAATACTTCCGGGACGAACGGGGCACAGCCCATTTTTTCGTATTCCTGGAGCGCCACGGGATCGATCGCCCACTCCTCCTCATCGAGATGCTGCAGGTAGCGGACCCACGCAACGATAACGGGTCCTCGCATCTGCAGTGCAGGTGCACTGCGGACACGTTCTCGCAACTCGTGCCGGTTGCGCACATGGTCCACACAGACGACGGTGATGCACCCTGCCATTTCAGTGAGTGCTGCTGGTATGAGGCCGCGCCATAGATGTCGGCCTGGGTTGGCCAGCGCTACACTGTGTGCACGTACCGCCTGTGGAAAAACCTCCGGTGGCCGACCGCCCAGGTGCAGAACTATCACCTGCTGCAATATGTGTGCACGCGCGAGCACCTGGCTTTCCAGGAAGGTCGGAAGGGGCAATGGCTCCCCGAGGTGATTGCTGAGGGGCACATCCCCGGGGTCCAGGCGCGCCAGAGCTGCATCTGGGATGCGTCGAGCTGCCATAGAACACCCGGAGGGAACAAAAGAAGCACATGTAGGTAAGGTGAACTCGTGAAGGTGAAGTGATACCGCAAAAAAACAAGGAAAACCACGCAGGAAGGATGCTTGTCAAGTAAACGACGTCATACAATACACGGAAGACACATCACTGCATAGTACTAAATCTTACCCGAAAGTGCAGCCTCACAATCCTTGCAGACGAAGATGCGCTCCATGCCAGCTGCATCGACCAGCATGGTGCGATTGGGTAGGTCGGGCTCCAGCCGAATACAGTACGGTATTTCCACGGATGCAGAGTCTGTAGGACATGGCCGCGGCAGTACGCGGGGTGGCTTTGGCTGCAGCTCGGGCGGCAGCTGTTGTGATGGCGCTTCCGGTGCAGCCTGTGCTATTTCATCCTCCTCAGAGGTACCGCTATGGGCGCCCCTGATGTCATCGTCCAGCAACATAGCGACACCATTGCCACTAGTGCCTGCACCGTCTTCCCCCGAGGCTGTGTTGCGCCGATCATTCCGCCGGATACGGTACCGAACTGGCAGCACGGGGTCTGGCGGCGATGGTGCTTCCCCCTCGACTGTGCGTGCCATACAGCGCCATGTCAGTGTGTGTGCACGATGCGGCACAGCCATTGTACACGGAATGTCGGCACGCAGCAGGTCCACATTAGGGATGTCATGGAAGCTGTACACTGAGCAGCTGTCTGTTGAGCACAGCTCAGAGCATACAGCACATACATGTGATGGCATACGACGCCGCAATGCCGCTGCCATGCTAGAAGCGGTCTGTAGCTGCACGTCATACGGCACCTGGCGTTCTGCTGACAACTGACCGTCAGGCAAGTCTTCAACACGGCCATCGGGCAGAGCCATCAAGAAGTCTGGCAGGTCGATGGGCCGGTCGCCATGCAAGTAGTCTAGTTGTAACAAACTGTTAAGACGGTCCAGTAGGGTAGATTCACGCCCACGCTCCTGCTGCAATCGCTGCCGGCGCTCACGCTGGCTGGCCAATTCCTGCTGTAGTGCCACGGCGGCGGCCGCTGGATCCTCCTGCTGCAATCGCTGCCGACGCTCACGCCGGGTGGTCGATTCATGCTGTACTGCCGCTGCGGCGGCCGCTGGATCCTCCTGCTGCAATCGCTCCCGGTGCTCACGCCGGGTGGCCGATTCATGCTGTACTGCCGCGGCGGCGGCCACTGGATCCTCCTGCTGCAATCGCTGCCGGCGGTCACGCCGGGTGGCCGATTCATGCTGTACTGCCGCGGCGGCAGCCGCTGGATCCTCCTGCTGCAATCGCTGCCGGCGTTCACGCCGGGTGGCCGATTCATGCTGTAGTGCCGCGGCGGCGGCCGCTGGATCCTCCTGCTGCAATCGCTCCCGGCGCTCATGCCGGGTGGCCAATTCGTGCTGTAGTGCCGCGGCGGCGGCCGCTGGATCCTCCTGTTGCAATCGCTGCCGACGCTCACGCCGGGCGGCCGATTCGTCCTGCTGTATTACCGGGGCGGGCGAACTGGTACTACGTACAAGACTGCAAAAAACCGGTGGATCTGTGCAACGAACCAAGACGTAGTGAATTATTACAGATCGGTCGAGCGGTTAATGGCGACCGCCGACTGCCCAACTGCTGTTCGTCCTGCTGCATATGAACAACAAACTTATACTTGCGAAAGTAAAATAAAAGTCCGGTATTACACTAAAATTCCGATATATGCTATCCTCCAGAACTTTTGTAGCAACGTTGCGGATGCAGCAAAACGCGATAAAGAGTTACTGTACAGATGTCCGATATAATACCGATATAATATAGCGTACATATATACATGCGTACGCAAGCGTATCCATTCCAGACGCGGCGGATGTACACACCTGGGTATTCAGTTGCAATCAGTTGCATGGAGGTGCCTTCAAGCGCGTTCAACGAGTGAATTGCGTTTAAAGTAGCGCTAAATTTTACATAGACCAACAGTTCCTGTGCGGCCATGCATACAGGCGCTGTGCAGCACACCAACCACTTCCAGTGGGTCCCACTGCGCTATCCAGCAGTACCTCCAGGACAAACGGGGTACTCCCGCAGCGCTACAGAACCAATCGTCCACTTCTCCACATTGAGCGGACCCACGCAACGATGCAGTGTAACGCATCTGTAGTGTAGGTGCGTCCTCACAATTCGTGCCCACATGGTGCACACATGGTCCACACACCCTGTCATTTCAGGAAGTGCGCCATCGATGTCGGTCTGGGTTGACCAGCGCTACACCGTGTGCACGTACCACCTGCTGTGTGCACGTACCGCGTACCGGTCGGCCACCGGAACTATGACCTGCTGCAATATATGCGCACGGGCAAGTATATTTATGCACAATTCACAATTAAAAATGAAATGGAACGTTCAGAAAAATTACACGAAAACATGCATTTGATGCATTTGAACATAAAACGTGGGGATCGAACCTGCGACCTCCCACTCTTTCCGGTACTTTTCGGCGCGGTCTTTTGCACGTACGGCACGCTCCCGACCCGGAATTTCCAAAACGCTCCGGACAACCGGACGGACAGACAGACTAGACGCGGGCTGCGTCGCCCGCGAGGGGGCCGTAGTCCCCCGGCTGGGCGGCAGGAGTACGACGGTCCGTGCGTGTACTACACCCGTGTGGGAGTCGAACTCACAAGTGCAAGGGATGCACGAAGGGGAGCATCGTTGTCGTCATGACGCGTGAGTACACCAGGCAGTGGATGGTGTTGAGTGCGGCAATCTTGTAAGCAGTGTACACCACACGATGAGTATTGTGTGAGAAGCTGGCGGTGCCGAAGAAGTCGTCGCTGTCATGCAGCAGTTACCGAACTATGACGAGTACTTCGCAGACGATAGTGACCATGTGGTGTACGCTGCATACGACTGCTTGGACGTTGACGTTCACCGCACAAGTACGCAGGATAGCGCAGGTATGCCGTACAATACGTGCAGAGGCGTGCGGGAGATATCGCTGCCACGTTGTGTGGCCGTGTTGGTGTTCGGTGCGTTGGTCATAGCTGCCAACGTCATGGCGGCGGTGGGGGTTGGGCAGGATCGTCCGCTGCAGCAGTTTAGGCGCACGGCTTGCTTTTGGTTGGATATCTTCGTAGGCCAGGAATGCCGAGGAATGCATGACATACGAAGATATCACACCGATGTGATATTTTCGTACGCCAGTAATATTTCGGCCTTCATGGCATATGAAGATATCAAGCTGAAGGCGAGCCGTGGAGGCGAAGTGCTACAGCGGACAATCTTGCCCAGCCGCCACCGCCACCATGACGTTGGCAACGATGCTGACGACCAACACGCCGAACACCAACACGNCCAACCAANCGNTGCAGCAATAGGTGCTGTGTACCGCCCAGCCGCCATGACCGGGAGTCTGGCCGCCGCTCCTTCATCTCCAGTTGGAAGCCGCCTCCAAGTCGAGGCGGCAGCATGAGTACAACGGGCAACAGCGCAGTTACCACCGCCTCAACAAGTAAGCAAAGTAGGGCAGTCAAAGGCGCACGGAGCAGGGACAGTCGTGCTGTCCGGCGAGGCAGTGGTGTTATCATGGTACGGTAGCGATGCAGCATGTCATATGTACACACACAGTAGTACACCGGGCTACACCACACCGCCCTGCTGTCCAGTCGTTGTGGATCAAAGTCATACCGGGTCAGTAACCAGGTAAGACTTGGGTCCACACCTTGCGGATCCGCGTCTTACTGGGTTACTGACCAGGTATGACTTGGATTCAGAAGGACCGCATAGCAGCCAACAGCAGGTGCGTGTGGCCGTGTGAGTGTGTGTGGTGTCGGGGGGGGAGTTTTGCGTGCAGCAGTAGCGTGCCATAATAACACCACCGGCTCAGCGGTTAAATAGCTATGTGACGACACCGCTGTTGGTGTACCACGTAGGCATTGTTATGTACGATTGCAAAGTGTATGTAGGCTTGCCGGTGTATGCCATGACATGCGTCGATGCATAACCTGTTATGCCCCGTCATCGTGTCGAACCTCGACCAACGAAATCGTAGAATCGCCTGCAGCAGCGTCGGAGACTGTAGACCTTGTGCCGGTCCTAGAATTTCGAGGGTCGTGGTTCGAAACGAGGACAGTGACAGGGCAGAACATAAGAGAGGAAGTTATGCGTCGGCGTATGTCAGAGCAGAAACGATGGTGCATTGAAGAGTGCACGGTGCACGAACGTGTGTACCGTCCGCTGAGGCAGCGGTGTTATCAACGTTAAATTCTAAATGTTCTACACAGTTTAATATTAAATACAGTCACCATCTGTGTCGGGGACTGTACAGCCTACTTAAGCAGCGCCAGCTTTGCAGACGATAACGACCGTGTGGCGTACGACTAACGACTAGACGACTAACGATTAGACGCCGACGTTCGCCGCACAAGTACACAAGGTAGCGCAGGTGAAAGCGCACGGTGCACGAACACTTGTGTTGTCCGCTGAGGTAGCGGTGTTAATTTGGTACGGCACCGATGCAGCCCATCACACACACACACACCACCACACCCACCTGCGAATGGCTGCTGTGCACGCCTTCTGGATGCAAGTCCTACCGGGTTACTGACCCCGTACGACTTGGATCCAGAAGGAGTGGACAGCAGCCACCCGCAGGTATGCGTGTGTGGTGGTGGGCGGGGGGGGGGGGACGGGGAGGTTTGCATGGACAGGTACCGTAGCATAACAAGACCACCGGCTCAACGGTCAGCGTTAATTAGGTATGCAGTGGTGTTATTGTGGTACGGGACTGATACAGTGCAGCACATATACACCACACCGGGGTACACCACACCGACCTGCTGTGCAGTCATTCTGGATCAAAGACTCGGGTGCACACCGTCCGGGTCCGGACCTTACCGGATTACTGACCCGGTACGACTTCGATGCAGAAGGACCGCATAGTAGACAGCCGCAGGTGTGCGTGCCCGCGTGAGTGTGTGTGGCTTCGGGGGGCGGGGGGGAGGGAGTTTTGCGTGCATCGGTAGCGTACCATAATAATACCACGTGTTGGTGCGAGCATCATGTCAT